CTCTTGTAACTCAGGCTAGACTAGCGTTAGACTCATTAAGTTCCCAAGATGACCCTTATTCCCGATTCTCCTGACGCCTCTTCCTAAATTCTAGGATTATAGGTATTTAATTACCACTGAAGGCTGGGTTTGTTTTGCTGTTGTTGACAAGGTCTCATGTAGCCCAGGTTGGTCTCATGTTTTGAAGCAGCAGGTTGAGGACATTGTGTTCAGAATCTTATTGTGCTCAATAAATCTGGAGAGAAATACAGTCTATAGGTCACAGCCTTCCCAGGAAGACCAGACCAGAATACCTCCCAGAGACAATGTGCCAAAGGTCTGGCCAAGCAGACCTGGCCAAGGCATGCTGGGTGCAGACACACCTTTTTGCCAAAACTGTCCATCTGAAGGCCTCTCGGCCTCAGGAACTTCTGGAAAGAGCTCATCTATTATCACACTGCCTCTGGTTCGTTTCTCCTAGGGCCTACTTCTGGCTTAAGGCCTGATGTGGCGGGATCTTGCTGGCAGAGTGCCAGCACCTGTCTGCACAGCAGGCTGGGAAGGTGTGTCTGACTTCTATGAATGGAAGAAAAAAAATTATTAGTGTGGTTACCACCATCCCCACTAAAGATAAAATGGTATGCCCAGTAACCCAATAGAATGGCTTGTGTCCCCTTCCATCTTCCAGGAACCCAGACACCCAAATCTCAGAGGCTCCTGCTCCACACACTTCACTCCCTGAGACCTTGGGGCACAGCCTGCTCACATGTCTTCCTTCAGGTCCTGAGAAGCCACCCCAGACCTTCCACGTGATGCCTTCCCTCTACTGACACCAGGGTCCTCAACTCCAGCTAGCCATCACCTCCATTTTTAAGCAACTACAACCTCAACTATGGTGTCCTAGGTTCAGGTAAGCTAAAACATGCCATTAGCAAATTGGACCCTCAGAAACCCCTGCCAATGACAAATGTCTTTTGGGTTTTGTTGTTTGTTCTGAGGTATAACCTCACACTGGCATGAACTCACTATGTAAGGCAGGCAGGTCTAGAATTCTCTATGATCCTCCTGCCTCAGCCCTGAGTTCCATTCCTGAGCCACCCTGTACCTTGCTAATTGTTCTGTTAATGTAGCCTTCATTCAGAAGGAAACAGAAACTCAGAGGAGCTAATTATCACTTTGTTCTTGCCATCACAGGGGCTGGAGCTGGGGAGCCCTGTGCTGTGAGCCAACGGCTAGAGGTGATCCCCAAACGACCCACTCAGCTTCTTCTGAGCAGCACCCCTCAGACTTCACATCAGACTACACTTTTACAGACAGTGTAGACTCCTAGCCTGGGGATGTCTAACTTTTGTAGTCTTGGGGGATCTGGGGACCTAAGTGGTTTGTTTTTGTTTGGTTGGTTTGTTTTGATTCACTGTGTCTAACCAGCCTTGGAACTCACTCTGTAGATCAGGCTGGACTCGAACTAACAGATATCTACCTGCCTCTGCCTCCTGAATGCTGGGATTGAAGGCCTGTGCAAGCTCTACAGTGATAGGGCAAGTGGAGGAATTGACTTTGTATTCCCTAAGGGTTAACTGACTACCCTGGACTGAATCATGGACTGTTCACACAGGGAATTGGTAGCTGAGATCTCAGAAATCTATGGAATAACTCTGTGCTCTGAAAATACCACAAAACGGACACTCAGGCACTGCCAGACAATGGGAGTCAACCTTCCAAAAAAACGTGAGCCCTTGCAATCCCCCGTTGAGGAATTCACCTAGAGGGTCTGTCATGGCATGCACAAAGTGATCCCAGTCAGAGAAAGGAGCTGACAAAGCCACACAGCTGCTGAAGCAAGCCTCTTGCTCGCCCCTCCTTTCATCTCTGTGTGGCTGCCATCCTCATCCAGGCGACACCAATCCTGCCTCCCTGCAGCCCTTTCCTGCTCCCAGGCCTTGCAATTTGCTTATGCAAAGCCCGGAGCAGGAAAGAGTAGCTGAGGTGAGGGTGGGAGCCTGGTACCACTGGGAAATCCTATCAGTTCCGGTTGGGGTAGGGTGGCATCCAGAATGTTCCACTTAGTCTGACCTGTAGACTTTGATCCCACAGTTACCTATACTAGGCCTTGCTCTCCTCTCTCCTCTTGTATAAATAAGAGAATCCCTTGGGTGAGAAAGTTGCCCCCTGACTCTTGGTCCAAATATGGAACAATGTTGAGGCAGGAGATGAAGGGCAAAGAATAGGCCCAGGACCCAGTTTCAGGTGGGCTTGATTCTATGTCTTCTCCACAACCCCCGCCCCACTTTTCCATGGTACTACCTGGGCTTCATATTGAGTTACCCTAGTGGCTTTTCTGGGCTTTTTACATTCTTGTATTTAATTTATTGAGACAGGGTCTTAAGTAGTCCAAACTGGCCTTGAATATGATATACAGCTGATAGCCTTAAGTTCTAACTCTCCTACTGGGATTATAGATGTGCACTACCACACCCAGTTTTTATAGAGTGCTAGGGATCAAACACGGGGCTCTGTGTATGCTACGTAAGTACTCTGCCAACTAGACACTAGGTCCCCAGCCCAGGAAACTTTCTCAGTTTCTCAGAGCCTCAATATTATGGCTTCCCCTCCCCCAACTCCTATGTTAAGCCTCTAGTCCTAGTGGCTCTAACAGAACATTGAGCCACGAGAGAGGCAATTAAGATTTAGTGGAGTGGTAAGAGTAAGGCCTTCTTCTATAGTCTTCTGTCTTTATAAGAAGAAGTAATACCCAGCTCAGCCTCCCTCTGTGCTCACAGGCAGGAGGCTACGTGAGGACACAGAGAAGGGTGGCGATATCCAAGCCAGGAACTGAGGTTTCACCAGAAACTAACCCCGATCTTGGCCTTCTATCCTCCTGATCTTAGAAGAAATAAGATCTCTGTTGTTGAAGCCACTCAGTGTTGTGGCATTGTTACAGCAGTGTGAGCTGACTAATAGAGTCAGTGTCTTCTTTTGAAAGTGAGTATAAAACTGGTGCTTGTATCATAAAACTGCTCTGAGAGTCCAGTGAAAAGACGACACACGTAAGGTTTGACTGCTTTCTGTAGCATCCTTGCTGCCTCGTGTGTAGCACATGTTAATAAACCAACTGTTGTTGTTGGTTTGTTTTTCTTGTTGTTTGTTTTCTTTTGTTTTGATTTTTGGTTTTGTTTCATTTTGTTTTGTTTGAGACAGAGTTTTACCATGGAGGTCTGCCTGTCCTGGAGTTCAGTGTGTAATCTCATAGTCTCACTCAAAGCTGGCCTCGAACTCACAGAGATCTCTCTGCCTCTGCCTCCCAAGTGCTGGGATTAAAGGTGTGTGCCACCACGGGATTTCTAAGTTCGAGGCCAGCCTGGTCTACAGAGTGAGTTCCAGGACAGCCAGGGCTATACAGAGAAACTCTGTCTCAAAAAAAAAAAAAAAAAAAGAAAGGTGTGTGCCACCATGCCCACTTTGATAAATAGGTGTTTCATAAACACCCCTATTAAAGAATAAACTGGTCACATAAAATTTTAGAGCCTCTAGACTTCCTCCTCATCTTAAACTTTTTTGATCCGTGATCAACACCTACCAGCAAGTAGTAGCAGGAATGGGTAAAGGGTCAGGATGGGTGACAGCAAGGTGACATCTGTTCATCAATGTGGTGACAATGTGGTCCATCAATGTCACCCAGTATAGCTCTGAAAAGGTGACTCCAGAGACCTGGTCTGTCTTAGATCTTCTAGTTTGGCTGAAGAACTGGAGACCACAGCCACGAGAGGAGAACGGGCCCTGGGAGTGTCCTGGATAAAGTCCACTTTGGGTGGGAGACCTTTCCAATACTTAGACTATGTAAATAATGTAAATAACGAAAACAATGGGGCCCTTGTCCCCCAGGACATTTGTGGCAGCTCCTGGGCTCTAGACAGGCAAAGAGGCTCTGCTCATCTACCTGGCCATGGTGAGACTTGTCCACAGCATCCTCAGGCACCAGTACCTGCTCAGACTCTTGGCGATCCAGGACTCTGGGCAGGGAGAGTGCCAGCTGTACTAACCACTTCCTGTACCCCGCTCCTGCTCTTTCTAGGACAGATTCAGTGGCAGCAAGGCCCGGTGAGTCCCCCTCTTTTTCCTGCTCTCCCCTTTGTCTTCACCTCCCTCCCCTTCACTGGAGCAGCCCTCTGTCTCTACCCACGCGTGACTGACTGTCCGTGTGTCTCCACTCTCTGTCAGCCCCGTGCCCAGCTTCCCTAGAGTACCATCTCATCCAGCTGTGCACCAAGGGCCACTAGTTCCGCCTGTCCCTGAGTCCCACCCCCAGTCTTCGCCTTCTGTTGCTCTGACCTCAGGTCCACGCTGTCACACAGTTTCTTCAGAGAGCATTCCAAGTCATAGGTCTGAGTGGCCTAGAGTGCAATGTTACCCTGACAGAACTCAGGGTCTCCTTGGGGCAGAGTTGAGTAGAGTCTGCTTACAGGTTGGGGCCACCACATCTCCCCGCCAGATGTGCAGGTAAGTACACAGTGGGTCTTAGGGGCCCAGCTGAGGGTCCCCCACAGTTGGGTCTCCCTGAGTGACTTTAGATAACCTGTCCCACCACTTATCCAGCAAGGCTTAACACTTAAGCGTGGTTCTTTTACCTGTCTTGGTCAGAGTCTGAGTGTAGGGGTCAGGAGCCATTGATAGGTGAAACAAACATCTGTACAGGTCCTCGTGTTTCAACACACCTGTCCTGTCTATGTTGCTAGAAAGGTCCATGTTTATGGGTTCCTTCAGTTGAAGGGCAGATGACTTATTATTTATCAGAGAGGGGGCAAAGCCTTGTACTGGAAGTAGGTAGGCTGGGATGAAGCAAAACCAGTCTATCTGCCCAGACACACAAGTTTGGAGAGAAAACGTAGCCAGCCCATCTTTCCGGCCTGGTCCAGAGACGTGGAGACACGGGGTGAGTCGGAATGCTGAGGTGGGGGAGGGGAGGGAGGCACCAGCTACCAGGGCCTGCCATGTTCCATCCTCCATCTTCCCTGTGCCACCAGCATCCCTTTAAGAAGGCCCAGGAGGAGGTAGAAGAGGAGGATAAATATGAGCTGCCCCCCTGTGAGGTTCTGCCCCTCAGTCTGGCCCCTGCACAGTCTCTTGGCTCTAAAGAGGACTCCTTGTATCTGGGTGAGGGCTGAGGAGGGGAGGGGCTGGGAGGTTGGGTCAAGGGTCCAACAAAGGGAGAATCCAAGCCCGGCCTCGCTTCCCTCTGCCTGAGCTGGGGCAGGGGAAGGGTCTCAGCTGGCTGCCACTGAGGCCTCTTAGCTGGGCAGAAAAGGCCAAAGACATGAAGGAAAGGAGTTAAAACTGTAAAGGAGAATGGGAAACGGGAGGGAGGGGCGAGGTAACTAAGGCAACACTGACAAAGCAGGAAGCCCGACCCAGTCCCTAGGGCCTCGCGTTCCCCCCTCTGAAATCTCTGCACATTCCCCCAACCAGGGTGGGAATGCCCTGAGAGGCCACCACCACTGGCATCTCACCCCCGGGCTTAGCCACGTGGGGGCAGGGAAGCTGACTGTCTCCAGTTGCCATGGAGACGGGGCTGTCAAGCTAATAAGTAGAGGGGACAGGAGAAGGGAGAGTGGGGGCTAGGTGGGGAGCGGGTGGAAAACAGGAATATACTAGGGAGGAACTTCCTCCCTCTCCCCAGTTTACAAAGCATGGGGTCTTTTTCAGATCGTTCTGGCCCCCTGGATCAGTCCAAGCCACCACCGCCTCCGCCTCAGCCTACCATGGCCAGAGGACTCCCCATAAACCCTTCCTTCCCTACCCGCCCTACCTCTGGCTACCATTTCCCGGTGAGTAAATCTTACAAACATCTCATTTGCAAACCCCCATCCCCCGCCCCGCTCCCATTCCACTCCCAAAGCACATTTATATTCTAGAAGCCATGAAACCTCTGATGCCCGGTGCATTAGAAACCAGAGTGAAGAAAAACAACAACAACAACAACAACAACAACAACAATAGTAGCTCCTCCCACTGGCCTAAAGGGTCCTTTCATTCCTTCCTTACCCACCCGCCGCTCTGCTCCCTGCTCCTTGTGCCGCTCCACCATGCTCTCCCTCCTCTGCTGGGGTTGCAGGGCAAGGCCCAGCTGCCCACACCTAGGCTCTGGGCCACAGGACCCCTCACTGGCCAGGGGGGCCAGCTGTCATCATTCCCAACTCCCTTTCCCACTGTGATCTGGTGGTTATCCACTTGGAAAACTACCACGTTGCTTTCGTATTTTACAGAATAAAAATAAATAAATAGAGAAATTTCACAGTAAGGAAAGGACCCCGAACTAGAGGCAGAGAGAAGGGTTGTCTTCTGTTGTAGTGTTTTATGTTTGTTCAGTTGGGGTTTCTAGGGGGAGGGGCAGTTGAAAGGGTTCTCATGGAGTCCAGGCTGGCCTTAGACTCATGCTCGTCCTGCCTCTGCTTCAGGCAGGAACAAGCTAACAAGTCAGCGTTAGTTTTGAAAGCAGCACATTGGCCTTGCCCCCTTGCACCCCAACTTCCTTGTTCCTTGTTCTTCAAGTGCCTGCATTTCATGCCTTCCTCCCTCCTCCCTCCTCCCTCCTCCCTCATTTCCCTTCACCCATTATGCCCACAGCTGAAGATGGCAATGAACCTGCAGCCTGCAACCCCAAAGCAGGGACCTGTATTTGGAAGGCGAGGTAGAGTGTCTTCTCTCTTTCCATGGCTCGACATAGGGAGGGGAGTCTTCTACACAGGCTAGAATTTTGGGGTTGCCCTGAACCAGGCTTGCTGCACCCCTCCTAGCCACACCTCCCTTTTGTTTGCCAAGCCTCCAAGTCAGTCAGTACAAGTATCATCACCACCAAAAGCGTGAACTGCTGTTCCCTAGAGAGGTCGAAAGCAGAGGCCCTGACCTCCAGGCCCTGTCTTCAGCCTGTGTGATCTGTGGGCCAGGTGAGGGGCATCTAGAATGAAGAGGTCAAATCTGAGACCCTCCCTCTTGAGACCTCTGAGCATTATCCCTCATCGACAGGCAACCTTGGGCTGTCATTCTGATTGCCTTCACTGTCCAGAGTTACTCCTATGGTCAGTGCCTTCAGGCCTATGACCACAGGACCTTAGGATGTCAGGATGGGGAGATGGGCCACTTGAACCATCCCTGTGTAAAACAGGTTACAGGAGGGTTAGCATCCTCCTGCCCAAGGTCAAACAGCTCACATGAGGCACAGTCTATCTTCTTCTTCTCAGTTGCTGGTAAACCTCTGTCACTCTGTGGATAGCTATGTTTTTTTGTTTGTTTGTTTGGTTGGTTGGTTGGTTGGTTTTTGTTTTTATCATAAAGTTATCTGGAACCAAGCCTAGCAAATTTGGTGAGAAGTCAAGCCTGGTGACATTTCAAGGTTGTAAAGAAAAAGTGAATGAGTAAATGCAGTGTGTTCTCTTGGGTCTCCAAAGCTAGCTATGAGAAGCACAGTGACAAAGGGTACCCAGGCCCTTTCTCACTGATGCTCGTGAGTGCTCGTTCTCCCTCTTCCTTTACAGGGCAAGGTACACCTGCCAGAGTGGTGAGCTGCCTTTTTCTCTATCCTGTAGTCTAGGGAATTTTCTAGGAAACTGATCAGAGTGGAGTGAGCACCTGGGTAGTCTGTAGGAAAAGTTTGGTGTAGAGTCCTTCTCTCTGCCACAAGTATAAGCCAGTGGTCCTGAGGGCACCGCCCAGAACCTCCTCACTGTCCAAGCACTCATAAAGGAGAAGTCAGTCAGGGCATGTCCTTCCTGTGTAGATAAGGAGAAAGTGAGACATGTAGAGCCGCCTTCCTCTCAGTCATTGGCTTCTTCCATGTCTCACTTCCTCACTAATGAGGCAGATTCCTAAATGGGACTACAGGTCTAGACAAACCCACGGTCCTCCACCTTAGGAAACGGACAGTGGAGTGAAACCAGATGAGGACATCTACCTGGAGTGTGAGCCAGATCCACGTGAGCCTGCCCTTCCCACCCCTGAAGCCCTCTACTACCCATGAACACTCACTCTCTCCTGACCCCATTCTTGTTCCCTCCAAAATACTTCCCTCTAGACCCTACCTGGGTGTCTTAATTCTGCTATTAGTCCCACATTGTCCCTACCAAAGAGGTGACTGACATCCTTAGAGCAAAAGCTGGATGGGGTTTTCTCAGCTGCTACAGCCAGGCCAGCAAGCTGGAATCTCCCTATAGAAGCTCTCCAGGAAAGCCGAGTCAAAGACAACAGTAGTAGATCCCTAGGCTGTTCTCGGCCACTTCCTGATCAGCCTGGACTTCCCTGCCTGGTCCCCAGCCAGACCCTGTCTGCCCTCTCTGCTTTAGTTCCAGCCTTAACTAGATCTCTGAGCTCCAAAGCCCCGATGCCTCCAGTTCCTCTGCCAAGAACATCTGGACGGCCCAAGTAAGATGCAGCCGTGGGAGGGACAGCATGGGACAATGGGATCATTAATGAAGGAAACCCCAGAGGCCAGGCATGGTAGCAAATGTCTGTCTTTAATCCCAGCATTTGGGCAACAGAGGCAGGCAGATCTCTGTGAGTTTAAGGCCAGTCTGGTTTACATACAGAGTTTGGAATCAGTTGAGGCTGCATAGTGAGATCCTGTCTCAGAAATAATTAAAAGAAAAAACCCAACAACAACAACAACAACAAGGGCTGGAGAGATGGCTCAGTGGTTAGGAGCATAGCTGCTCTTCCAGAAGTCCAGAGTTCACTTCCAGCAACTACATGGTGGCTCACAACCATCTGTAATGGGATCCAATGCCCTCTTCTGCTGTGTCTGAAGACAGCTACAGTGTACTCGCATACATAAAATAAATCTTAAAAAAAAAGAAAACAAAACCAAAAAGAAATCCTCTGAGCTCTGCTCCCCAATTTATTCCTTGCAGGTCAGTAGTTGGTCGCCAGGAGGCCCGGAATGTAAGAGACCTAGTGGTCTAGGAAGAAGTGAGCCCAGAGGGGTGGGAGGGAGGCCTAGCATGGGACTTCAGGTTTTGGGCAGCAGCCTGGAAGGCCAGCTCTCATCTGACCAGACTTCCTGTGTCCCAGGGAGCTGTGGATGCCAGGTTGAAAGGTAAGTACCTACATCTTCAGTCTGAATGGGGCTGCTCTGCTAGGATCTTACTCCCTTTGTCAATAGACCCTCACCCCACCCCACCCCACCCCCAGATCCTCAGGTCCTATTTACTTCACCAAGGAGGTCCTAGCAGCTCTGATTCCTATTGAGATCAGGCCTGAGAGAGTCCTCCTGGGCATTTCTCGGGGACTGCACTAACTCTAGAAGCTGCCAGTGTGTGTCCCAAGACCAATTCTCATTTGGAAATCATGCAAGGCCTGTCTGGTGGATCCTCCCAGAGTGTTGGGCCTGGGAATTCAAGGAGCACAGAATGGCCTATGTCGGACTTTAGACATGCTGGCACCCTCTGCTGCAGTGCCCACCCATAAAGCCCCCTTACCCGTACCCTTTCTGGTTCCAGCCCTCTTCTCTGCTTCTTTCACCAGGAAGGAAGCTGTCTGCTTCCTCTGTAGTCCCTGCTCTGAGTACCTCTGCTGCTGAGGTGAGCAGAAGCTGGGAGCAGATATGGGTGATGCCTTTGGGAAGCAGAGTCCTTGCCCAGGAGCCCTCCTAACCCTGCGGCCTACACCCCAACATGCATGCACTAAATAGAGTGCACCTCCCCCATGATGCACTCCAGGCACAGGCACTACTTTGCTTGGCCTGTAGGACTCCGTCTGGGGCTGGAAGACGTAGACACAAATAATTGTACCCCAGGGTTCTCTGCTCTCCATGCCCAACTCAGTACTGGAGTGTCTCTTTGAGTGGCTCTGTGTATTGTTCAGGACGGCAGTCTGCTGGGTCAGCCTTGGTACTCCGGGAACTGTGACCGTCAGTCTGTTGAGAGAGCCCTGCTTCACTTCCAAAAGGTGGGCATTTGTCAACTCTTGGCCTTCTCTGAAAGTCCTTCTATTCTTTGCCTGTCACTGATGAAGCTGGCAGTAAGGGCCTGGGAGGCACTCAGCATAATCAGTCAGCTGGGCTTAGGCAGTTAGAAGATGAAGTTCATGGCTGTGGTCTCCCCCACAGGATGGAGCCTACACAGTGCGCCTCAGCTCTGGGCCTCACAGTTCCCAGCCCTTCACTCTGGCAGTACTCCTCAGAGGCCGGGTCTTCAACATTCCCATCCGGCAACTGGACGGCGGGCACCACTATGCCCTGGGTCGGGAGGGCAGGAATCATGAGGAGGTGGGTACTAGAGGCGGCATGGGCCAAATCAGCGAGGTGGGTCACAGAGCAGCACCTAGGCCTGGCCAAGAGCATGTGTGTGTTCAGGGAAAACACACCGATTGCTTCCCCCTCTCACCCTGGGTGGAATAGAAACGACAGAGGGTAAGGCCTCTGAGGTAGTTCTGTCTATAAGTTCCTGCCTTGCAATATGAGGGTCTGAGTTTTACTCCCAGAGCCTCAGGGGGTAAAATAAGACAGTAGTGGTGGCTCGGGTTTATTATCTTGAACTGGGGAGGTTGAGAAACAGGTATCCAGATCTTGGACTCATTGACCATCCAGCCTCCATGGTGAGCTCCAAGCCAGTGAGAGGCCTTGTCTCAAAAAACAAGGTTGGGACTGGAGAAATGACTCAGTGGTTACATTCACTTACTGGTTTGGACTGGAGTTGAGCTCCCAGTACCCACGTGGCCAATACAATTGTCTGTAGCCCCAGTTCTGATGGATTTACTGCCCTCTCTGGCCTCTGCAAGCACCCCATGCATGGGATGCACAGATATTCATGTAGGTAAAGCACTCATACCTGTTTTAAAAAAAAATTAAAAGAAAAATCCTAAAAAAAAAAAAAAAGAAAAGAAAAAAAGAAAAAGAAAAATCCTAATAAACAAGGTAGCTAGGCATGGTAGCACTCACTTTTAACCCTAGTACTTGGGAGCCAGAAGCAAATCGATGTCTTTAGTTCTAGACCAGCTAGAACTACACAGTGAGACCATGTTTAAAAACAAAATAAAGCTCTGTGTGTGTGTGTGTGTGTGTGTGTGTGTGTGTGTGTGCGCGCGCGCGCGCGTGCGCAAAGCTAGAGGCCTGAACATTTTCCCAGACGTCTGGCACTGTGGAAAGAGGCCCATCCTTCTTTTGGGAAAGCTTTTCCTTGTTCTGTGGTTCAGTCTTCACAGGGTCAAGGTGAGGGCAATGAGACCATCTGAGAGGAGGGCAGAAATCTCCAAGGAGTTGCTGAGTTGAATCCAGCTGGTTGGATTCAGACCTAGACAGTCATCCACCACTCAGCTTCCCTTGAGAGAGACCACAGCAGAGACCTAGGCCTAAAGCAGTTCTCACCCAGCTCTGGAAGCCTGAGTCTGGCCAACAGCATAGCCTGCCTGTGTAGTTGCAGGCTTAAAACTAGCCAGCAAAACGACATTGCAGTTTCATAGCACAATGGGAAGGAAAATATCTAGAAAAATGCCAGCCAGCCCCCCTGCCAGGCCCCACAGTTGCCTTAGAAAGTTGTTGGCAGACTAAAGCTCGAGGGACCCACAGATGCCCTGCCTGCCCTATTCTACAGCTCTTCTCCTCTGTGACTGACATGGTTCAGCATTACATGAACCACCCCCTGCCTCTTGTGGACCGACACAGCGGCAGCCGAGGATTCACCTGCCTGCTCTTCCCCACCAAGTCCTGAAGAAACAGCAGGGACGCAAACCCACCTTTGGCACATGGTGTGCCCCTTCACAGTCCCCTCTCATTTTAGGCTGCTTCATTTTCCCTGCCAGCCTCCACCCCAAAGGCCCTGCAGGTTCAAAATGAGAGGCATTAAGGTTGTCTATCAGGGGAAGAGGTTGGCTTCCTCAATGACATTGCTTCTCCTTAGACTGATTTCTTGTAGGGGGTTAGCATCTTCTGGGAGGCACTAGGTTCCCAGCACACAGTATACTTTCAATAAACATTTATTGACTGAATTCTCTTTAATATCACACCCCATTATTAGTATTATAGTAGGTACATCTGTATGTGATCATGTGCGTGTGAGTGCCCATGTCCACGGAGGACAGAGGCATCAGATACCCTGGAGCTCGAGTTAGGTGGTCAGAGGGTGTTAAGTTACCAGATGCAGGTGCCGGGAAGAGCACTAAGAGCTGTTTAGCCGCTGAGCTATCCCTCCAGCACAGGGGATGGATTCTGGAATATGCTGAGAAAAAGAAGCCTTCCCCAGAAGGCCTCACACTTCCTAAGAGGAATGGAGTATGTTGCTGTGTGGGTCTACCTGGTGGGCTAAACTGCAGAGGGAAGGGACCCGTTTCTACCTGGTTCTGACTTTTGTCCTAAGTTCTTTGCCAAAGAGGAGGAGGGCCAGGCCAATAAACTGACGTTTGTTTATGCTTGCTGGTCTTGGGCAAGGAAGGGGAAAGAGGCTCAAGGTTTCTGGAGGAGAGAGAAGGCTGATGGCAAGCATTTGAAGTCTAGCGTACAGTATGGGAAGGACCCCAGGAGACAGTCTGGATGAAAGCCTAAAGAAGGATGAACAAAGGAGCTGGGAGGCTGGGCCAGTGGATGGTAGAGGCTTTGCGACCCAGGGCAGAGCTGCCTGGCAGGACGCGGGCCCAGCAGGAATAAGGGGCTCCGGATTGGGCTGGCATCCAGCAACCCACAGGCTGGCCGAGAGCGGGGGCGTCTCCGGGCCCTGGCGTGGAGCCTGGAACACCCCGTGCCGGAAGCACCACGTGACCATGACTCCGCAGAAGTCTCGAGCGGCCGGGAAACAAAGGGCAGCTCAGCCACTGCCTGGCGTGGGGGCTGGCACGGAGGGAACGGCTCCCACTGGTGCCATGCTGCACCCCAATACCTCTGGACCGCCTCCTGGGGAACCTGGAGTTTGGCGTGACCCGGACGCTTGTGGGATGTCCGGGCGGAAGCCAGGCCTAGGGATCTGGGGGTGGGGCGGGCCACGTGGGCTGCGGGAGCGTTCACAGTCGCCTCTGTTCGTCATCACCCTCTGGCAGATTACCCTCCCTGAGCTGTAATAGATGGGAAGATAATTGTCCCTGCACAATCATCGACCTCCGGTTAGGAGGCTTAAGTGAGGGCCTTCCGTGCGTAAGAGGCGCCTCACGGAGCAGCACTCTGACTCCCTTCTCCCAAACCAGCTTAGAATTCGGGTCAATTAATTGGTACTGATAACGTCCCAGTAGGGAAGCAGCTTCAAGCCGGGGAGTCTGGTCAAGGACAGCACCTGCCCTAATGCTGCAGGAGTGGGGGACCTCGGACTAGCAGCTGGGGCTTTCAGCTGAGGAAGCCCGAGGGTAGGGATTCTCAGCTGCCTGCCAGTCCCGATAGCCTAGCATTTCTTTTTACCCCAGGCCACTTCTAGGCTCAAGCCATGGAAATGGCCTCTCTTTCCCACTAATTCTCCAGGCACCTAGGGACGTATTTAGGATATGGGTCTTTGGCACTTTGGAGTGCCCTCATCTGCTTTGCAGTTTCATTCTCCTGGAGGACCCCCTACCTCAAAGACAGAAAAGCCTTTTCAGGCCTTTTAAATGAATTCCTCCTTAATCGGTAAACTGGGAGGGCATAGCTAACAGCGGTAGTGTTATTGGCTCCAAAGGTACTTCATGCTGAGGCAGGAGAATTGGTAATTCTTAGCTAGCCTGGTTTATATAGTGAGTTCCAGTCCAGTTAGAACTACTCAAAAACTGTCTCAGAACAACCCTCTAAAACACATTTAAAACAAAACAAAACCAAGGTAACGTTCACTCATCATTCCTGCAAGAATCAGAGAAACAGTCCTGGTAGTGGGGGCAGTGCATAATTAGAGCCCCGGGTGGCAGAAAAGAGCAGACCCTTAGGACAGCTGGCCATCAAGGTGGTTCAGTGTGTGGGGTCAGTTTCCTGCCAAGCCTGACATAGGGTGGAAGGAGAGAACCGTCTTGGCTAAGTTAGTCTCTGATCTCCACACGCTGCTGCCTGAGGTAGCAACACTCCTCCACCACCGCATAAAGACATTGAAAGAGAAAAGAGCAAGGCCCAGAGCTGGCCTAACACCTCCTCAGCTGACCTATGTATCCAGATGTCTTCTTTCCCTGGGACCCAACCCATTCTGGCCTTCCCCACTTTCACCTCCCTCCCGCCTTGGCCCCTGCTAGATGCCCTGTATCGGATAATCAGGTCTCTGAATACATAACATGTATTCCTGTGACATGTTAGTTGAAAAGTCATTAAGTCTATCCCAAGTTCCTCTACGCTGACAATCTGGACTTCTTTTAACATGAAAGTCCAAGCCAAGATTGTCTAAAAAATCCAATTTTTTATTTAAAGACAACGGTTTTATTAGATGTTGAAGTTTTGGTTTTGTTTTGAGACAAGGTTTCATGTTGCCCAGGTTGGCATCAAACTTGCTGTGCAGCCAAGGACGACCTTGAACTCCTGACTCTTCTGACGCCACCTTTTGAGCGTTGAGATGACAGACATGGGTCACCACAGCCAGTTTGTTCCACACTGGGGACTAGGGCTTCATAAATGTTAGGCAAGCACTCTGAGCTACGTCACCAGCCAGTAGGTAATTCCTTTTGAGTAATGTAAGTGTGTACAGCTATGGCTGGCTGGCAACTGTCCTGTTTTTCCAGGCTTTTTGCCTTTCTAAATGTGAAAGAGTAAAAGATGGCAAGGACAGGCCTGGAGGAACCTGGGGGGGGGCCTGGTAAAGAGTGTGAGCAAGGAGGTTATGAGCATGGGAGGACGGAGAGGGAGGACTGCCCCAGCTTCCTAGGGCAGAGGTCAGTGAGCCAGCATAGATGCAGGGAGAGTTGGAGGCTTCGGGTATTTCTGTAATCCCAGAAAGACGGAAGCTCTTGATTTTCCGCTGCACAATCCTGCCAAGCACTCAGCCATGTTTCCTGAGGTGAACAGGACAGACTAAAAAATTCCAGGCAGAGTCGTCTGCTGCCGAGAGAACAAGTCCTTAAGAAATGCTGTTCGTGACAGATACCAAATTGTCTGTTACTGAGGACCTGAAAGACCAGGAAGTGTGCAGTTGGGAAGGATGTGAAAGCTACAGTTCAGGCCAACACGCATCTGCTGGGCTGTCAGTGCGATGAGTTAGGCATCCCAGGCCTGCAGCTGACTGACTCGAGAGAATTGTGCACAGGAGAATCCAAGTTTGGCTGAGCCATTCATTCTCTGTGAGGCCTAACCTCAGTCACCCCCTGCCTCCCCTCCCTCCTTGTTTATTCCAGGAAGCAAACCCAGGGGCTTGTATATGCTAAACAGGCATCTAGCACTGAGAGCTGGTATTGCTGAGATGAGTTCTTGTTATTCTGCCCAGGCTATGCTTGAATTTGCCATTCTCCTGCCTGGGCCTCCCAAGCAGTCGAGATCACAGGCATGCGGAGATTTCCCAATTAGAGTCTGGGTAATGTTGCTTTTATTTGTTTGTTTTCCATGCAGCGATGAGAAGCCAACCTAGGGCCTGGTACATGCTTAGATATGCACTGTACCACTGAACTACACCCCCAGCCCTCCCCAGTTTGAAAACAGAGTCCATGAAGCTGTGTATGGTGACCCATGCCTATGATCCTAGAGCTCAAGAGGTAGAGGTAGGAAGATCTTGAGTTTGGGCTAGCCTCAGCTTTATATTATACACCCTGGGTGTGTGGCGGGGTAGTAAAAAGAAGAGAATGACAGCAGTGGTGCACGTCTTTAATCCCAGCACCTGGGAGGCAGAGGCAGGTGGATTTCTGAGTTCGAGGCCAGCCTGGTCTACAGAGTGAGTTCCAGGACAGCCAGAGAAAACCCTGTCTTGAAAAACCAAAAAAAAAAAAAAAAAAAAAAAAAAGAAAGAAAGAAAAAGAGAATAGGCAAAACCCAGTTGTGATTATCTATCTCTGGCCCATGTTCAGAGGCTCTATTCCGCTCATACCCTGACCAGCCTCAATATATCCACAAATACGTGAAACCTTTAGGCAGATATGTAATAGTTACTGTTTTGTTGGCCCATGCTACTGGCTACTGTCATTCTTTTCTTGATAAGACAATACACACACACACACACACACACACACACACGAATCAGAGACAGGTAGACTTCAGAGAGCTCAAGACCACCCTGGTCTACATGGTGTTTTTTCCTTAGTGCCCCTCCCAGATGTGAGCTATAGATTTCCATTAATACTCATTTATTTATCTATTGAAAAGAGAACGTATTAGGTGGATACACGGGGAACAGCATCCTTTTGAGGGCAGGGAGGGGAGTGGAGAAAAGCCTGGAATGACTCAGGTAAGAGGACAGGATGCTGTAGCGAGGTCTGGGCTCGAGCCCGCCGGCTTCAGAGGCCTCTGTTTCCACTGGACATGTCCCTGTGGGCACTGCTGTAGGATCGACATGGAAATGTTCAGTGCCCAACAGAACCTGCATCTGGATCCTTAGGTGGTCTTGTTCTGCTTCAGGGAGGAATAAATCTAAAAGGAAACAGTGTGTGGATGTGTTTTCAAGTGCAAGAGGCTTCTAGTGCTAAGGACTAGCTGAGCTCACCCACCCCAGGCCTTGCATCAGCTACAGGGATGACTGCCAGGCCTTGGAAATTAAGGCAGAAGGCTCCCAGGAGCTTCCCCGCCTTGCCTCTTGCTCCCGGTGAGAGGGAAGCAAAAAGGAGCAGAGAAGTCAAGGTCTCTTTAGCCAATTCATTTCCAAGTCACTCACCTGCCTAGCTCTCAGCAACCCAGGCAACAAACAGCCTGT